TTTGTTTTTGTTTTTCGTTTCTGTTCTTTGTTTCTATTGCGGAATACTATTAAATAATGGGTTTTCTCACCTTTCGCTAGTCATTGTAGAGATTTATTACCCTTGCGCAGCCTTAGGCTCTGCCAGCAGTGCCTCACTGCAAGCCAGAGCTGATTTGTGTGCAAAAATCCAGCAGCAGAAATTTCGACTTCCGCTTGAGTATGGGGGTGGGCATTTTCACTCTGATACGGCTTCCCAGGTGGGCTCATGGACATGGCGCGCAAGGGACTCTTATCAACTCATAGTGCACATATGTAATCTGGGTCTGAAATCTGTCTGTCATCATGACAGACAGATTTCAGACCCAGATTACATATGTGCACTATGAGTTGATAAGAGTCCCTTGCGCGCCATGTGCAACATGCATTTGTTGCACCTGCACCTCGCACTCGCTGCAGGAAGGTCTTCAAAGGTCTGGAAAAGTGCACGCAGAGCATGGCAAGATCCGAGGAAGCTGCTCCATGCCTAGTGTGCATGAGAAATTTCCAGTTCCCCCTGTGTAGTTCGGGAGACAAGAAAGTGCGGCTTTTGCTACCTTTGCAAGAAGGGCAGATTTTTGTTCACTGCAGACTCAGGAGCATCACAAGTTGCAGTGTCAGTCTGCTCCACCAGACCCAGACAACATGTTTGCAATGCATAACTTTTTTCCCGAGTCAGCGAGGACCGGCGCAAGGTGCTCGAGCGACTGGAGCCGGCCATCGAACGCTTTATCTCCGAGAAAAGCGAAAGTACATCATCTGAATCTGTACCAGAAAATTTGTCTTGCTATATTTACGCGACTGAAAACTCCGTTAAGCGGAGACAGACGAGACCACCAGAGACAGAGGGCCAATACTTCATATCTGTTTTTCTTTTCTGTTCATCTTCATGCAGAACGTGACGTGTCGAGGAGTTTATTACTTTCTGATGCGCTTGTTTAGCAATGGGAAGAGTTATTTGTCGTGCCAAACAGCCAAAAACAGGATAAAACCGCAGTGCAAAGGCAGGAACAGTTGTTTTTTTCCGGTATGGTCGCGTGTGCTTTTGTTTCTCTTTCTGCAGCATAGGCTATGCAGACAATACACACGACTGGATGGCGGAAAGTCCGATGCTCTCGCCCGGGGCGATTAGCATGAACATCACTCTCTCCAAGGCGGAGAAGGAACAGCATGTGCATTCGCAGAAATTCTACGAGATTTTGAAGCACCGGGAGGCTCGCGAGGCGTTCGAGGACACGTTTTTGCTGACCCTCCCGCTCCAGCCGCCCACCAGCGCTGCATCGACGGCAATTATCTAATTTGAAAGCCAAGGAGGATCTTCGACACAAAAAGACCACTTCTCGGGGTCTTGAAGGACTTCGACGGTAGTCGAAGAAGAAGAAGTTCTTTAACGTGTAATTATAGCGAATTTCGATTTGTATGTAGTTCTAGTTGTGGTCATGTATATATGTTAGCGTGGGAGATCGAGATTGACGCTGCACTCGTTAATGTATGAGTAAGCGTGGGATCGAGATTGACGCTGCGCTCTTGATTCTATTACTGCGCACGATAAAAACTAAGACTAAGTTTTCAAGCATTCTCTCACCCAAGTTTAGTCGGTGCCAAAAATACATCAAACTGAGCTCGTTGCTTCGTACTCTTGCTCTTGGACTTGATTGATGACTTTAATCCCAGCCCTAATCTTTCAAACAAAGGAGCAGTCAGACGAGCAGCGAGTTGTGCTATGGTGTTTCCTTTGCAGGTAGTCAGTCATAAATAAAAGAGCGACTGCGATGATTCATTGAAAAGCCTTGATTTTCAAGAAGTG